CTGGCGCCGTTTCTAACCAAGCAGGTCTGGCGCCGTTCCTAACCAAGCAGGTCTGGCGCCGTTTCTAACCAAGCAGGTCTGGTGCCGTTCCTAACCAAGCAGGTCTGGCGCCGTTCCTAACCAAGCAGGTCTGGCGCCGTTCCTAACCAAGCAGGTCTGGCGCCGTTTCTAACCAAGCAGGTCTGGCGCCGTTCCTAACCAAGCAGGTCTGGCGCCGTTCGTAACCACGCAGGTCTGGCGCCGTTCGTAACCACGCAGGTCTGGTGCCGTTCCTAACCAAGCAGGTCTGGTGCCGTTCCTAACCAAGCAGGTCTGGTGCCGTTCCTAACCAAGCAGGTCTGGTGCCGTTCCTAACCAAGCAGGTCTGCTGCCGTTCCTAACCAAGCAGGTCTGGTGCCGTTCCTAACCAAGCAGGTCTGGTGCCGTTCCTAACCAAGCAGGTCTGGTGCCGTTCCTAACCAAGCAGGTCTGGTGCCGTTCCTAACCAAGCAGGTCTGGTGCCGTTCCTAACCAAGCAGGTCTGGTGCCGTTCCTAACCACGCAGGTCTGGCGCCGTTCCTAACCACGCAGGTCTGGTGCCGTTCCTAACCACGCAGGTCTGGCGCCGTTCCTAACCACGCAGGTCTGGCGCCGTTCCTAACCACGCAGGTCTGGCGCCGTTCCTAACCAAGCAGGTCTGGCGCCGTTCCTAACCACGCAGGTCTGGCGCCGTTCCTAACCACGCAGGTCTTGCGCCGTTCCTAACCACGCAGGTCTGGTGCCGTTCTTAACCACGCAGGTCTGGCGCCGTTCCTAACCAAGCAGGTCTGGTGCCGTTCCTAACCAAGCAGGTCTGGTGCCGTTCCTAACCACGCAGGTCTGGCGCCGTTCCCAACCACGCAGGTCTGGTGCCGTTCCTAACCACGCAGGTCTGGTGCCGTTCCTAACCAAGCAGGTCTGGTGCCGTTCCTAACCAAGCAGGTCTGGTGCCGTTCCTAACCACGCAGGTCTGGCGCCGTTCCTAACCACGCAGGTCTGGTGCCGTTCCTAACCACGCCAACATCATAACTCACCAACTATATATGGAGATGTTTTTCTTGTGGGATATTACATCTCATCATTTCGTAATTATGGGATTTACGAGGTTTCTGTGTAATTACCTCCAGGAATATCAGATGCTCATTATGGGATTGTAATGATGATGGAGAGAGGCAGGGACGGTCTAAGGGGCAGGGGAGGGGTGAGGGAAGAGGGAAGATGAGGGGGGAGGGGGAGAAGAAGCAATGAGAGCAGTATTAAGAGGATGAGGAAGGATTAGGAGGTCGTGATATTGAAGTAATGAGTGGAGGATGCGGGAATATGAAGAGGAATGAATGGAGGATGTGGGAGAAGGAGGAGGAGGAGGAGGCGGTCGTGATAGGTAAGGAATGAGTAAAGGAAAAGCAAACTAATGAGAAAGAAGTGGTACAGGGAGATAGGAAGAGGATGAGTAGGGAACGAGGACCAGTGAAGGAAGAGATTAAGGAAGAAAAATATATTGTATATGGAGACCTGGATTAAATACCAGGTGAATGTTGAGAGATGAGGGTGAGGTAATTATGAGGAGGAAACACTAGGTCAGTATGGATATATATAGTACTAGGAAGGGTTATGAGGAGGGAAAGGCAACGATAAAATATGCTAGACAGGAAGAAAAAGTAACCGCTTAAACGAACTGCTGAAGAGATCCAAAGGAATGGGGAGTCAGGGGGGCAGGAGACGATGAGGATAATTGAGGGAGGGAATGGTTGGGTGGGAGAGGTAGGGCAGGGGTCGTGAGGCAGGGCAGGACAGGGGTCGTGAAGCAGGACAGGGGTCATGAGGCAAGACAGGGGTCAGCGAGGTAGGGCCACGGTCAGTGAGACAGGACCGGGGTCAGTGAGGCAGGGCGGGGGGCAGCGAGGCAGGACCGGGGTCAGTGAGGCAGGACCGGGGTCAGCGAGGCAGGGCCGGGGCCAGCGAGGCAGGGCCGGGGTCAGTGAGGCAGGGCAGAGGTCAGTGAGGCAGGCAGGAGTTGGTGAAGGGATGGGACTCCACTTACAACCACTGCCAGTTTAAAAAACCTACCTCTGGATATAGAACACGTCCTACAAGTACCCACATAACTCGAAACTTCAACATTGAAATTGCTTGTAGTGAAATAGGTCCAGATGATAACTATGACATAATTCCATTTTAAATAAAAACAAAATGCACCTATGAAAGGTAATGCTGCCCCTCCTGAAGAGGACGGCATAGCATACTACACCATGATACTTGCTGAGCTGTCAAAGAGTCCTCAGCTAGAACTGTTTAATCAAAGTCTGAAGTAGAGTGTCTTACCTGACCACTAGACACAGGGACTCATAATACCAAGACCCAAGCTCAATTCACAAAAACCCAGACCAGTATCTCTCTGACCTGTATGTGTAAAGTTCTTGTGAGGATTATACTCTCCAGGCTAATATTTCAAATTAGACCCCAACTTGTCCTAACCTGTATG